ATTGGTATCGTAAGCTATAAATATACCCGTGATGCGAAATAAACACTGACATAAAAGATATTTACAGGTTCGAATTGGTTCTTACACGGTAATGGAATCCAGCAGCACTCAGTCCAGCACGATATACCTGGCCAGTGGGATCAAAGCGGAGGAAGCGCATCTGCTCATCTAGGCTAGCTTCGAGGCCAACTAACTCGGCTTCAGTTGCAGCCAGCGCCTCATTGGCCTGGGCCCTCGCCCTTGCCTCTGATATCCCAGCTTCGGTGGGGCGACGTTCAATCCCCAGCCGGGAGCGCTGACAACGAGAAGTAGATGCACGGCGTTTGCCGACGGTCGAGACCGGCCTCGAGGCAATGCTTGGCCCCGACGAATTAGGACACATTGGCTCATCAGCGGAAGGGTTTGCATGAGAAATAGCCTCTGGAGTTAAAAGATGATGCAAAATTAGCATATAAAAAGCATGCAGGGATTTGTAAGTTGCGAACTTTGATTGGTGCCAAAATAGAATGAATGGAGGGTGGAAGATCAAGTAATCTAAGGGTAAGCTGTACATCAGCGCCTCCTTTCGAATCCAGAAGTGGATTTTAGTCTTGGTAGATTAATCAATGGATAAGAAGACTATGAAATACGAGATAAAAAGGCAAAGTGGAATAAATTATCGCATCATATTGTTTGATGTGCCAAGAGGATGAAAATTATCTATCAATAGGAATCTCGGAAATAAGGCTATTTTGATTATCGCAATGAGCTACTTATAAGTAAAATATTATTCTGACTAAAATTGTCAAAATTAATCTTAGGATTATTGCAAACAATAGGGCCTGTATAATTTGTGAAACATTGTAAATAGTCATTAAAATAAAGTTTCCGGATATTCGCAATTATCAACAAACAATTCTTGTGACTTTAAGTTAACTCATAGAAGAGAGAGATTTGCTTGTTAGTTTTGATATAGTATGTATGTGCATTAATATTCAAACTTAAAAGCTAACAATACATAAGGAACGAGGAATAGCGATAAGATTGGAGGCATATCGCCTAAGTTATTAATAAGAGATATAGGGACGACTACTTGGCCAGTTTGTAACGCAAAAAAGAGAACATGAATAGATATGACGATT